GATCACTTTGATTGTTGAATTGGTATTTGCTTGATCTTAAGCTTGTTTTATATGTTTGATTGTTTCAATGATTGGAAAGAGTATCTGAGATTGCTCAGTTCTTTGAAAGTTGATGACTTTATTCATAGAAAACTGCGTAGCTCTTTGAAAGTTTATGACTTTATTCATAGAAAGTCCTTTTTTTTTTTCATTAATCCCTGGAAACTTTCAAACATATAATGCCTTGGCAATCAATGTCATTGGAATTGAATAGCTATGCTTACAATGTGCCTGGGAAAATCACAATGATTATTGATTTATTCCTATGTATGGCCTAAACTTACCCAAATATGTATCGCATAGTAAATTTATATTTTAGTCTCCATATCGATATTGACATGCTCCCCTTAATATATACTTTCATGAAAAATATAAAAAAACCTTGCTTTATCTTGGTAATTTGGGCTTGCCAACCTTTGGGACTTAATGTGATATGCAATCAATTTAAGGGAAAGTTCAAGTTCTTTCAGTTGATTAGTTGCAAGAAATGCCTATTTCCTAACGCCTATTTCCTCAGGTTGATGAACAAATGCAAGAAAGTCTACTGGTCGGACGAGGAATCATGTTTTACCGTGTATTGGAAGCAGTACCTTTTCAGGGTAGTGGAGATAAGATCAAGCTGCCATCTTCCTGCTTCAATGAATTGCAAGAACAAGGTGCTTTTGATCAGGGACCTTTATACTTTAAATTGTCGTCAGTTCATCAAGAGGCTTCTTCAGAAATGATTGATGCTGATAAGGAGAAGGGTAGGAGCACCCATTCAGGTGTTTTGGAGTTCACTGCAGAGGAGGGTTTTGTTGGCCTCCCCCCTCATGTATGGCAGAATTTATTTCCAGCAGAGACACCAAGTATTCCTCTGATAGAAGTTCGCTATGTCTGGCTGTCTAAAGGGACTTATGCAAAACTTCAACCTCTTCGGGCAGGTTTTTCAGACTTGCCCAATCACAAGGCCATCCTTGAAACAAGCCTTCGTCAGCATGCAACCCTTTCTGAAGATGATATATTTATAGTCAACTATGGGGAGCTGGTATATAAGTTACAGGTCCTTGAATTAAAACCCTCCTCAAGTGTATCTGTTCTAGAAACAGATATTGAAGTTGACATAGTTGGTGCTGATACAGCTTCAGAAAAGACTCATGAGAATGTCCTAAAACCACTTACATTTGGAACATCAGAATCTGGAATGGTTGATGAAGGGAACTACACGTATTACAAGTTCTCAATAGATAATAATACTTGGGAGAAAATTGCTTCGGTAGATGCGAAAGTTGAGGTGAGAATAGACGCAGAGCCAAATTCTGGGGATACTGATATTTATATTTCCAAGCATCCTCTCATATTCCCAACAAGGCACCAGCATGAATGGTCATCTCATGACATTGGTTCGAAGGTATTGATCCTTAGCTCTAAAGATAAGAGCTTGGAAGCAGGAACTTACAGTGTTGGTATTTATGGTTTTAAGGGAACAACTAAGTACCAAGTATCTGTGAATGTTCAAGATGACAGTAATCGGAAGGTAGGTCAGCAGGCTGTGTCTTCCTCGTCATCAATGGAGATGGATACTGTAGAGTGTAAGAATTGTAAACGTTATATACCCAGTCGGACTATAGGACTTCATGAAGCCTATTGTAGCAGGCATAATGTTGTTTGTCAGCACGCTGGTTGTGGAGTTGTTCTTAGGGTTGAGGAGGCCAAGAATCATGTGCATTGTCAGAAATGTGGGCAAGCTTTTCACCAGGGAGAAATGGAAAAGCACATGACAGTTTTCCATGAGCCGCTTCACTGCCCCTGTGGAATTGTGCTTGAGAAGGAAGAGATGGTAGGCTATATTTTTCTGCCCCTTTCCTTTCTGCATCATTACATTTTCATTTCATTAGTAAAATTTTAAATCGAATCATTAGGCTATGAACTTGAAAAGGCTGAAATTTTCTCTCCATGTTTGCAGGTGCAACACCAAGCCTCAGTTTGCCCCCTGCGCCTTATTGCGTGTCGGTTCTGTGGGGACATGGTTCACGCTGGAAGTTCTGCTTTAGATGTGCGGGACAGATTGAGAGGATTGTCTGAGCACGAGAGTGCATGCGGGTCGAGAACTGCCCCGTGTGATTCATGTGGGCGTTCTGTCATGTTGAAGGACATGGACATCCATCGGGTTGCTGTGCATCAGAAGAATTAAAGCCAGGCATGAGTTCCCAGTTTCCCTGCATTGTCAAAGCCTGCTTGTGTGTTTGAATTGTGCCCTTGTAAAATATAATTGCTGCTATGTATTGACCTGAGATAAAGGAATAAAAGGAAGGAGAGCCAAGATCTGATTGTATTATATGATTATTCAACTGTATCTTTTATGCATATGAAAATGGATCTAATGTTTATGTTGGACATAGAATGAAGCAAAGAATTGAGAAAAAAAAAATTATTTAATGAGAAAGATGTCTGCCATTCACTGTGAGTGTATCATTTGCGTTAATAAAGGTTGTGAATCGTGATATGTTGGCTAATGCGACAATGCTGTTAACTTTACATTAACGTGCCCCCATGTTCCTGTTTACATAACTTTACCAATACGTTTCACCTACAAGCTCATGTTTCAAGTGCAAGTCAACAATATCCATACAAGCATGAGTAATGTTTTAACCTACAATCTACCAATTCAATATATCAATGCTCACAATCAGCATACCACATTACTGTCACACTAATTTTTATTTTTTTTATTTTTATTTTTGCGCGGCTAGTATTAAACACGTTGAAATGCGGAAGTTGACAATGCAAAATGAATGCCACTAGAAATACAACTTTACAATTGAAGTTCAAAGTCCTTAAATTATGGGAGTGCCAAGCTTTACACCTAGAGCTCCCACGTTCTCAATGTGAGTTGTATTTGAGTACAGTGCTACAACTCTCTACCTTCTTTGGAAGAGCCTTGAAATAGTAACATATCCTTGGAAGAGCCATGAAAAGAAAGAAATACCTTCAAACAAAGAACCTACTTTTCTTCCTTCTTTCCTTCCTACTTTTGGACACTGTTTTCTTCTTCTTTCCTTTTCATGCCAGTAAACCTAGCAAGAGCAAATAAGTCCAATATTAGTGCTTCGCTTTAGAACTCAGATCCCATTCATGGCCCCCGTGTCCACATCCCAACGGTCAGAAAGCAGAGAAATAAGTAGCCGTTTGAAATATACGGACGGGGCCCCAACCTTTTCGGCTGCCAACATAAAGAGACACTCGATTCACCTTCCCACATGCCGACAACCAAAATCCCATTGGCCCCCAGCGATTACAACAAAACTCTCCTTCTCTTTTCCGTTTCTAACACAGATTCAACTTTTAATTTCCTCATTAATTCCAAAATTACATATTTTAATTATCCATTAAATCGATAACCATAACCGAAGCGACTGTTAGTAACATCGTCATCACTAACGTTGCTTCGTTTGATTCGTTTCCCTAGCCGACTGACAGCGACTCGCGTCTTTTAACCAACATTTTCCGTCGCTTTCTCTACACAGCAGGCGCATTTTAGCACCGGCCACTGTCTTCACTGGCCTGCGACTTTCAAGGCCCCTGCTTTGTCTGGAGAGCCTTTTTATATTGCTTTTCGTGCTTTCCGGTTGAACTCAGACGCTGCGTTTTGGTCCTGATGAGGACTTGAGGTTGTTGTGTTTGGCTTGCCAAGGAGAGAAGGAGTGAATTCAGTTCGTCCGGAGTAATAGAGGTAAGACTGCTTGTGCTTCTGAATCTTAAAGCTTAATGCGTGTTTGGTTGCCGAGAAAGTTCGGAGGGGAAGGATCCAATACGTACAGACTTCAAAAGATTGTGACTTTTTTCTTTACTTGATTTGGTTTTCTGTAAGTGTAAAATCTTTGAATTTTGTTGTTTGTTTGTTTACTGAGAAATGAAATAACAGAACGAGAAAATGCACTCTTCCGTTTATGATTTTCTGACGGATATCTAAGTTTTGGATCGTTCACTTGATCAATTATCACTCTTTTTTTCAGTCCGATCTCTGTTTTTTTTATGACAAATTTGTGTTCTTTTTTCTAAGTCCCAATGCAAAGGAATTGAAAGTTATTCAACAGAATCTGCTGATTGTTGTTGTTTTTTATGTATTCGTTTTAATGCTGCAATATTGTTTACAAAATTATCACTTTTAGTATCTGAGATATTGGAAATTGTTTAGAAACTTAATTCTGCGTTTTTATTTTGAGATGATGCGAAAAAGCTTGCTTTGAAAGGCATGCACTACAGGGATCACCTTTGCTTCTGGTTGCTTTATCGGGTCAAGTTCAGATCAGTTCCCCTGTTTAGGCCTATTTACATGGAACCCCATTTCTTCTTGTTCTTTCGGCGGGGCATGTATTTTCATTTATTTTTTAAAATTTCATACGTGCTAACCATAATATTTATGAAATTACAATCTTGCCTTTTTCTATACCTTAAAACCACAAGGTTTCCATACAAATAAAAATAGAGGCCTAACCACAAAGGCGAGTCCTTCCCTTATTTGTTTTGAGGGACTGGTATTCTCATAAAGGAGACGTTCTTTTTCAGTGAACCACTGACGTCCAAAGAGAAGTCCAAGTTTTTAATTTAGACCCTTCTTTCCTTTTACTCTGCAATAGAGGATTTTGCTGACTCCAAGGCTCTCTTCTTCTCTTCTCTTAGTACTATTAGAACGAGGCTGTGTGCAAACCAGTATCCCTATGTCTCTTTCTATTTTATCTTATTTAATTGAGAATATTAAAGCTTACCCTCTTTTTTTCTCCATATTACAGAAGGATCATTCACATATATTTCTTTGAAGTGAGATATGGCTACATTGAATGATATAGCAGTTGCAGCAGCTATCAATATTCTCACTGCATGTGCTTTCTTTGTGGCATTTGCCATACTTCGTATTCAACCCGTCAATGATAGGGTCTACTTTCCGAAATGGTATATTAAAGGGTTAAGGAGCAGTCCATCGAGTGGAGGAGCACTTGTAAGCAAGTTTGTGAATCTGGACTTCAGGTCATATGTCAGATTCCTGAATTGGATGCCTGCTGCATTACAAATGCCAGAACCTGAGCTAATTGACCATGCAGGGTTGGACTCTGCTGCTTACTTGAGGATTTACTTGATAGGGTATGCTTTGGTAGATCATCTTTTGCTTCAGTTCATTAGCAGCTATATTTACTTTAAGGGTTGGACTCTTAATTACAGTTTTCTTTTTCTTTTCTTTTTTAATGCAATTATATACTTTGATGAGAATAAAGATGCAGGTATATAAGAATGTTATGTAAAAATTATATTCTGTAACTAATTAGCTGCTATATATATGATGTGTGTGCAACTTCCAATAATTTGAAGGACTTGAATACAAAGTATACTATATACTACAGACAGGTTAAGGTTGTTCAGATCTCTAAATGGAGAACTCATATGATATCAATATTAAATTTTGAAACTGATAGTTGTTTTACATTTTTCTAATTACCATGTCCCGTTATATCCTAAATCAGTACAGATAATTTGAATAGCATATGGCAAGTGTTTCAAGTATCTTGTCAACCCATATCTGTCTTTGCATAAATTGTTTTCTTCTGCATTGGCTGTATATATTATCTCTTCTTTCTGGCTCTGATTTTCAATGTTTGTCTTCTTTGACTGATTGTGAGATTTTGGCCCATTAAAGTGCAGGCTAAAAATATTTGTTCCCATCGCATTCATAGCATTTGCAGTCATGGTCCCGGTCAATTGGACCAATAGCACCCTAAAGAATTCAAATGTAGTTTTCAGCAACATAGATGAGCTCTCTATTTCAAACGTTCCTGTTGGATCAAGTAGGTATGCAATACATTCTTCACTAATCTCTAATATTGCACAACTTTTTATTTATTTATAAGTTTCGCTATTTTTTCCTCAAGTGTGCTCAGGAAGTGTATGTGTGTGTTCAACTTTTAGTTATGAACTTCTTAGTTTGTCTTAATTGAGAAGAATTAGCTTTTAAACTAATATGCAAATATTAATGTGAACCTGCCTAGTTTCTGCCAATCAAAATAAGATAAAAATAATGAAGCTCTCCCAAAGGAATTATTGTTTTTCCCCTGAATTTCAGAAATGGATTATACAAAGAAACTATGTCAAATAATTATTAAAATATTGATCTGTGTACATTTTCATGAATTGAGTATGAAAATCCAACTTCAGATGATTATTTACATTTGATGCAGACTTGGGACTCAGATGTTACTGTGCACGGAAACATGTTTAAAATCCAAGGATTTCACCTTCTGATGATTATTTAACTTTTGATGCAGATTTTGGACTCATTTAGTAATGGCTTATGCTTTTACATTGTGGACATGCTATGTATTGAAAAGGGAGTATGAGAAGGTTGCATCAATGAGGTTGCATTTTCTTGCATCAGACCAGAGGCGCGCTGATCAGTTCACAGTAAGATCAACTTGATGTATTCTTAAGCTTACTTATATGATAAATAAATTGACATTGAAGCCTAATATTGAGGACCTACCAGGGCGGGCTGGGGTCAAGGGGTTAAATTTATATGTTAAATTGAACTTGAAGTCAGTCTTATCATGTAAGTTTCTACTTGAACTTAATTTCTTTATGCAGTTTCAAGACATAAATTATGAGTTGATATTACCAGGAGTTAAGTATTTGGTATATTTGCATACAAAAGTCTTGTTTTCCCTTTTTACTCATCAATTTAGACCAACATTTCCTCTGTATTTGTACAGACTATGATCTTTACTTTTGTCTACCCATGTCATCACTACATGATATATATCCTTACTGCTATGTACTATCCAGTTAGACTATTTTGAGTGGGAATTCTATCAAATTGGTGTGCTTTAAACATTTCTTTTTACTTTTCTTGATCTTAAATGTTGTGAAATATATAAATTTGGTAGGTACTGGTTAGAAACGTGCCACCAGATCCTGATGAAACAGTTAGTCAGCTTGTGGAACATTTTTTTCTGGTCAACCATCCAGACCACTATCTCACTCATCAGGTTTGATCCTATTGCTTTCCCTTACATCCATAAATACTATACTTACATTACACTAGCCACTTACACAACCTTCTCTTCTTCCATGTTTCTGGTTTTGTTTTTAATTTTTTGTATTTGCATGCAGGTTGTTTACAATGCAAACAAACTTTCTAAATTAGTCAATGAGAAGAAGAAGTTACAGAATTGGCTTGACTACTATCAACTTAAATTGTCTAGAAATCCATCCAAAAGACCATCTAAGAAGGTAATGCATTCTTCTTTTTCTTTCCTTTCCTTTTCTTTTCATCATGCTATTTCTCATGTCCATTAACAATGTCTTGTGAGCAGACTGGATTTCTTGGTCTTTGGGGTAATCGGGTGGATGCTATTGATTTCTATACATCTGAGATTGAGAGGCTATTAAAAGAAGTAAGTAGCACTTAAACTATTTTGAAAATGATTCCACCTCACTTGCTCTATGTTGTACTGAAGACAAGGAAAGCTCCGGAGTGAGCTCAACTCCTGATTTGCTACTTATTGTTCTTTCTGTCATTGTGCATACTTCGGTTATTCCTTTGGTCTTCTTCGGAGGCTTTTTTATTAGATTTTCGATTGTAATTTTGTTCCTCTAGCATATTCCCTTGTACTTTAAAGCCATTTCTTTAATAGATCAATTATTTTAAAAACCATTTTATTGCACAAATATCATACTAGAGAGGCTTTTCAGCCCACATAGTGCTTGCTTCTAGCATTTTTAGTGGAATGCGGGGGTTGAATTGTGAATTTACTGAAGCATGTGATTACTCACGTTCTTTCTTTCTCAAATTTACTTTTGACAGATATCTTCAGAGAGAGATACGATTACAAGCAACCCTAAATCTATCATGCCAGCAGCATTTGTGTCCTTCAGAACTCGATGGAATGCTGCTGTTTGTGCACAAACTCAACAATCCAGAAACCCAACTCTATGGTTGACTGAGTGGGCTCCGGAACCCCGTGATATTTGTTGGGATAACCTGGCAATCCCCTATGTTTCATTGACAATCAGGAGGCTTGTAGTTGCCGTTGCTTTCTTCTTCCTCACCTTCTTTTTTATGATACCCATTGCATTTGTACAATCCCTTGCAAACATTGAGGGTATTGAGAAAGCAGTCCCCTTTCTAAAGCCCGTTATTGAAGTGTAAGTATTGCTCAACACTTAATTACTTTTCCTACCATCAGCATGCACTAACAGCATCCTGTTTGTCACGCAGGAAATTTATAAAATCATTTATCCAAGGTTTCCTACCTGGAATTGCTTTGAAGATTTTTCTCATATTCCTTCCTACTATTTTGATGATAATGTCCAAATTTGAAGGATTTAATAGCATATCAGCTCTAGAGAGGAGATCGGCTACTAGATATTATATTTTCCAATTTGTCAACGTATTTCTTGGGAGCATAATCACTGGAACTGCGTTTCAACAACTAGATAAATTCATCCACCAATCTGCTAATGAGTATGTTCTTTTATCTGCATCTTTACTTATTTTAGTTTGATGTACTATGAGGGATACTTACTTATAATATAAGAAAGCTTTTTTTTCTTTTCATACAATACAAAGTCCTATAAGAAGCTATACAATTTTTGACATATTGATCCAGCTTATTGGGTCTACAATGAATAAAACCTTCATCTGCTCTGTATCCGATGTTGAGATTGCTGCTTTGATACAAAAAGTTCTGATATATGATTAATTGGCTATTTGTGCAGGATCCCAAAGACAATTGGTGTTTCAATTCCAATGAAGGCAACTTTCTTTATAACTTATATAATGGTCGATGGGTGGGCCGGAGTTGCTGGGGAGATTCTAAGGTTGAAACCTTTGATTATTTATCACTTGAAAAATTTCTTCTTGGTGAAGACTGAAAAGGATAGGGAAGACGCCATGGATCCAGGAACCCTTGGTTTCAACACCGGTGAACCTCAAATACAACTCTATTTCTTACTTGGCCTTGTTTATGCTGTGGTGTCGCCAATCCTACTTCCATTCATAATAGTATTCTTTGGCCTGGCATATGTTGTTTATCGTCATCAGGTAAGTTTTGTTGGTCAAATAATAAGAATTCATTTATGCAATCCCTTAGTAATTCTGCTAAATTATAATGAAGTTGTTTTCCAATATTTCTAGATTATAAATGTCTATAATCAAGAGTACGAAAGCGCTGCAGCATTCTGGCCTGATGTCCATGGGCGCATCATAACGGCACTTATCATCTCACAACTGCTACTGATGGGGTTGTTAAGCACTAAAGAAGCTGCTCAGTCAACGCCACTGCTTATCACACTCCCAGTGTTGACCATATGGTTCCATAGATTTTGCAAAGGCTGTTACGAACCTGCCTTCATCAGATATCCATTACAGGTTTGTTAGATTCGCTATTGGGAGACCCGGTTCTTTGTATTGGTTTCTGGTGCTTAAACATCTGCTGTGTTCTGATGAATTCTGTTTAAGGCATTTGAGTTTGTATTATGCTGATGCTGATGTTTTTCTATGGTGAATTGCAGGAAGCAATGATGAAAGATACATTAGAACGTGCAACAGAGCCAAATCTGAACTTGAAAAGCTTCCTTCAAAATGCATACATCCACCCAGTTTTCAAGGGTGAAGATGACGGTGAGAATGAAACAGCCGCCGAAGAATGCGAGAAGGAGCCCGCAGTTGTGCCAACGAAACGCCAGTCTCGAAGGAATACACCATTGCCCAGCAAATATAGTGGTTCTTCATCATCATCCCTACCCGATGACACTCAGAAGATGCTCCGGCCTTAAGAGTCTGTACTACTCTTTGTTTTCTGTACATTTTTGGCTTAGGAGGTTGACATTTCTGAAGTTCAAGGGCATTGTAAATGGAAAAAGGAATTGTAGAGAGAGAGAAAGTGCTATAAGATGTTTCACTGTGTGGAGCAAAACAAATAGGTATATGATTCTTGGAAGATTTTGTAGTTGCTGCAATTAGGAGATTTGTTTTCTTGTTCTTATGGAGAACAATTTCTTATTAGGTCCATGTACTTTTACACTTTGTCCTTTTTGCATGGTGAGTAGAATTTCTTGGTCATGCAAATAACTTTGCTTCTTCCTTTGAGAAACCCAAATTCCAAATTACTTTATTTCTTGCTTCTTACCAAATCCACCGCATTTTGAGCCCAAATTTTTTTTTTTTCTTGTTGAAAAAACAAAAACAATGTTAGGCACATTTGTATATGACCTTGTGTGCAAAATTCTGTAGTGAGAGGGTATCGTATATAAATCCACTTTTATTAAACGGGTGGTACACAAAATGATATACCAAATGATACGACAAGATGACATAGGCCCGCGTGTGCGCCCTACTCCTTTCTCAATTGGGCGGTGCATTTTTTAATATTTCAAGGAGGTAAAAATCAAAACAGACAATTCCATTCCAACTCATCTATGATTGGTGCGTTGAACTCAGCTGGTGGGCCCAGGCGACTCATACTCCTCCCCTTCTCTCTTTCCTTTCCTGGTTCTACAGTCTTTTAGAACAGCAATTAATTAATTGGAAGTGAAAAACGGACGAGGTGATGACGGCCGCGGATGCGACGACGTCGTCTTCACCGTCGATGACTGCAACGATCCCGTCAAACCTCCCTCTCATCGCTGCGTTCCTCGCCTGCGCTCTCGCTCAGTTCCTCAAGCTCTTCACCTCCTGGTCCGTACAGTTTCTCATTCCTCTAATTTCAATTTTTTCCGCAGTTGAACTTTTCATTTTGAAAAATAAATTTGAAATTTTAGAGTCAAAAGGGCGTGAAAATTGAGTGTTTTGGGTTGCTGCTCTCAGGTACAAAGAAAGGAGATGGGATTCGAAGCGAATGCTCGATTCCGGCGGAATGCCGTCGTCGCATTCGGCCACAGTGACGGCTCTGGCGGTCGCCATTGGCCTTCAAGATGGCGTCGGAGGACCCGCTTTCGCCATTGCTCTGGTCTTAGCATGCATTGTATGTAGAAAAATTTACCTTTTTTTTTTCCCCTTCATATCATGTTTAGTCAAAACGATACCGTGTATTTACATATTGTATTTTCCAGGTGATGTATGATGCCTCCGGAGTGAGACTTTTTTTTTTCCCTTCATATATGTTTAGTCAAAACGATACCGTGTATTTACATATTGTATTTTCCAGGTGATGTATGATGCCTCCGGAGTGAGACTTCATGCTGGTCGGCAAGCCGAGGTAACATCTCCTTGTATGAGCTTTGATGTTTAAAATTATGAGCTTGTTTTATATAGAAATGGGAATCTGTTTTTGTGTACATGTTATGTTGATAGAATTTCAATTTTAGATGATCTAGTTTGAAATTTGACAACATATTGGGTGTTTGGTAAGAGAAGATTATCGTGTGTGTTTTTTGATATGATTAATTTATCACATTGATGGGTGTTGCAGTTGCTGAACCAAATTGTGTACGAGCTTCCTCCAGAGCATCCTTTGTCCAGTGTTAGACCTCTGCGCGATTCACTTGGACATACTCCCTTGCAGGTTTGTTGCACTACTCTTGCTTGCTGCACATCACTTGAGTAAATCGGAAAATTAGCTCACCATGTTATTAGAAAATATGTTGTCTTAATATTCATGTTTTGATTTTAAGCTCATTGTGGTTGCCGTGAAGCAGGGCAATTAGTAATCCCATTCTGCAGATGGTCCTTAGCTAATTAAACTAGAAAAGGAAATTTTCTTTGTCCCCATAATTCATTTCCTAGCCAGAGTAGTAAATCGTGTGAACATGTTCATTAACCAGTGACATTTTGTTGCAAAGTAGCTGGCCGGTGATGCTTCTTGTTTGCTTGTATAGTTAGCAAATGCAATACTCTTACTCTGTCATGCTGGCTCCACTGGACAAAGCTAGAATGTTATTCATCGACCATTGTTATTATGGATCGACCACTTCATTGTTATCATCATGAAGTAATTACAAGGTTCAGCTTCAGAGAAATACAGGTTTAGACATACATGCATTGTAACTTAGTTATCTTGTACGGTAACCATTATTATAGCTTTGTTGAAGGGGAACTTTTTGAGTAAGATATTCATAATCTTAATCTTCAAGTATCAGTGACATTTTTTATTTGGTTTGGCATCAGGTTGTTGCTGGTGCCGTGTTGGGATGCATAGTGGCATATCTAATGAGTAACAGCAAATAAGATATCTTATGACCGATACCTGATTCTTTGAGCTTCATACTGATTAGCCGTTGACTAGAGGCCGTAGTTTTGGCATGGGCAAGGGCAGTGAAAGAGCTGATGTAGGATGAGTTCCTAATTGTTGAAAGCATGTAAAGGTGTTTACAGAATAGGGGCCTCCACCTAGATGCTGGGGTGGGGGACTATTTTTTTGATGGATTTGAACATTGTTGCTGTGTATACAGAAGTTACCTTCACTTAATAAAAGACAACCCTTTGTGAAACTCTCGATGTTCTAGATTGTATTCTTCTTTTTACTCGCGCACACTGTCAGTTTTTCTGTAATTTGCTGACATGATTACTCGGCTTTAATATGATTTTTAAGCTACGAGAATAAAGCCAGAAGTGCATCTTCAAGTCTGTACAGTTGCTGAGTTTCTGATTATGATAATTGTAACGGATATTAATTTGGTTATTTAAGCCTAATTCATGCTGCTAGAGTTTGCCAAAAACTAAATCAAAGAAAGAAATAATAAAATAAAAAGAAGAGGCTTTAAGATTGAAAAATGGTTCTTAAATGAGAAGGGGACGTGTTTCATTGTCACTGGGTTCTTAACAAATAACAGACTTGGAGAAACAGAAATGCAAAGTGCAGTTTCAGCTTTCCTTATTAATTAACTCTTCAATCCACAAGCACCTTCAAACATCGAAGTTGAAAACGGTTCCTTCAACTCTCTCTCTCTCTCTCTCTCTCTCTCTCTCTCATATACACAGAGGCACTTGCAAAGAAATAGTGAGAACAAAACTAACCATGACAAAGAAGAGAGCTTCATCACCCATGCGCCAACTTTTGAGGTTGGTTTCAGGTCTCATCATCATTGTCAGTATCTTTCTATGTCTATTGGCTTTTCTTAGAGTGCTCCATTCTCAGTCCAAACTCCCACCATCATTCTTCAAGTCTCGGAGGTCTCATGCTTTCATTCATGAAGATCAGTTTAAAGGCCCTCCGAAAGTTGCCTTCCTCTTCCTCGTTCGTCAGGATCTTCCTCTTGATTTTCTCTGGGACACCTTCTTCAAGGTTTGCTTGCTAGCCAAAATAAAAGTGAAATCGGTTGTGAACAGAACCATAACATGGAGAGAGGTTTTGATATGCTTTGTTGTGAGCTTTGCAGAATGGGGATGTGGCAAAGTTCTCGATTTATATTCATTCAGAGCCTGGTTTTGCATTTGATGAATCAACCACAAGGTCTGCTTTCTTTTACGGTCGACAGCTGAACAACAGCATTCAGGTGTTCTTTTAGCTTCTTTGAACAAGAACAGCTTCAATTTGTTCATATTTTACTTGGTTCCGTTGCTTCGTTTCTTAGTAAGATTGACTGGCAATTATGCTGCAGGTAGTATGGGGAGAATCAAGTATGATAGAAGCAGAGCGCTTACTACTTGAAGAAGCTCTGTATGATCCAGCCAATCAAATATTTGTCCTCCTCTCAGATAGGTAGGTCTCGTCACCTCTTATATATGCAAGTGACCTCTTCCAACTGTATCAAAAACAAACTAATTTGCACTTTTTGTGTCTATTTCTCCATTCTGCAGCTGTGTGCCTCTGTACAACTTCAGTTACATTTACAACTATGTAATGTCTTCTCCAAGAAGCTTTGTGGACAGGTATTTGATATCAGCAATAACCAGAATGAATGTTTTTTAGAAGTGCTGGTTAAATTTTTGTGTTTCCTACACATATGGAAGAAACAGTGAAGCTGAACTTTTTGTAGTCTCTGCATTATAGCTTCATTGATGTTAAAGGATTTCGTTATGATCCGAAGATGTCACCTACTATACCTGAGGAGAGATGGCGAAAAGGATCCCAGGTTTTATATCTTCCATGTATATTTGCTGCATTGAGATGGAATAAATAGTTCAACTGAACACAATTCTGCCTTTCTTTTCTTTTCTTTTTCAAGATATTGATTCCTCCTATTGATGTAACGTCATGTTGATCTCATTCTCAGTGGATAACTTTGGTTAGAAGACATGCAGAAATTGTTGTGGACGACCATACGGTTTTCCCCGTCTTCAGGAAATTCTGTAAGGTATACGGGAGGCTTTATCTGGTCCCATTTCCATCTGCCTGAAAGTTTCTTTTGACATCTTGAAATGTTGCTCAATTTTCAGCGGCGGCCACCCATAGACCTGAGTTTGAGGAGGCAACTTCTTGTAAGGAAATACTGTCTTTTAAACTTTACATGAAAAAGAAGGAAGAAAAAAGGGTTTGCCCCTGGCCTTCAAAGAGTATATAAATACATGTGATGTGCTCGTTCTTGTCCACAGGAACATGATTTCGATTTCAAGTTTTTAATGCAGACAGTTCTGAAGTATCGGAATTGTATCCCAGATGAACATTACGTGCAGACACTACTTATAGTAAGCAGATGCTTTCTGTTCTTTCCTATATTAATAAACAAATGTTTTCTATAGTAATAATCTTTTAAGATGTGCTTTGTTTTGGAAAGTTCATAGGGAATTTCATTCAAATTCTGCATTTGTGTGTTGTGATAAGATAAGTGGACTTGAGGACGAACTTGAACGAAGAACATTGACCTACACATCATGGAATCAGACAACGATACTAAGGAAAAGAAGGTCTTGGCATCCTATAACGTTTGATTATGCAGATGCAAGCCCTTGGAAGATGAGAGAAATTAAGGTGAGTAGTTCTTATGTCCCACATAAGAAACAAAGTCTATAAAACTTGTCCTGCTTGCGTTGCATACATAACTTGATCAATTTAAATGGCCTAGGCTATCTTGTTTTCCTTCTGTGGATTGGATCCAAAAACCAAACTTCATGTGGCCTAAGATATATCAGTCTGCTTGTTTTTACTTTTTGATCATATTTGTTTTTTACAGGATATCGACCATGCATACTATGAGTACGAACAACACACCGAGTTCTGCCATACCGGATCCAAAATCGCTTCATGTTACTTGTTTGCAAGAAAATTCACTGTCGGAGCTGCCATGCGCATTCTGAGAGAAGGTTTGATTGGTCCTTATGATGTTACTGCAATACCAAACATGTGACCGTTACTGCAATACCAGATATAAGGAGGCCTCTATGAAAGGAAAAAGAGATGGACACATCTCTTGCATCACAAGTAGTGGCCAATAGAATGCAATTGTACAAAGCAAAACACATTAACTATTTAAAAGGTTGTAGTTGCTCACTACTTTTCCCATTTGAAATTCCTTTATTTTGATTTTGAATAGTAGAAAACCAAAAGTCAGTTTTGGCTACTAAATTCAATAAAACCATGAAGCTCTAAAACACCTAACCTTAAAGAACCCTATTGATTCTCATCACTTAAAACCTTCAGCTACTGAAGTAGTTATAGCAAAATGTAAAGAAATGAAAGTTTTACACAATTTTACTTTTAGGACTAATAAACAGTCATCACATTGCACATGCATCGCGTATGAGAACCGTCTAATTTTATTATTGTAACATCCACGATAAAATGTTGGAAAAATGTGTAAATTAATAGTTTTTGCAAAGTGATTTTTTTTATTAGAAAATTTTACTTTTTTGTTTTTGTTGGGTAATATTCAGGAAACAAAGATTGATGCACAAAATGGATGGTCGTAGTATTGTATGTATGATAAGCACCATAACAAATCTCTAACGTCAAAACCCCACAAAAATTTCAAACACAAAGTGGAGGGAAAACCTCGTCGTCCCATCAGTTCCCATCTCAACTCTCCCATTCTCATACTTTCCCCAATTCAATTTTTCGATTACAATGGCCGATACCCTAAGCCCTAACCCAACGGCCCAGAAGCAGAGGCTCCCGATGGCCGCTCGCCTCCAGTCTCCAACCCCTCGGCTCCAACGACGACCCCCTCGAGCGTGCACAAGCACGTGCGGCACGAGCAGCCGCGATTCGCAGAAAGTCCATTGCGCTCAATTTACCGCCACTGGATGCGGATACTGATCCCTGCCTCGGCAAGGAGCAGATTCTCGAGCTGTTCCAGAATTGCATCAAACTGGCTAGCGAAAATGTCAGCACTTATCTCTCTCTCTCTCTCTCTCTGTTAGTTTAGCATTCAAAGTTTTGAAATGAATTTGATTTAACAAAAAGTTAGAAGTTTATAGCAATCTGTTTGTCAATATGAGTGTGAATTTTGAAGTATTTCATTTTTTAAGACTTAATGATGATTGAAACAAAAGGGTCTTCTGTGGTTGAATTTTGATAACCCTTTGTACTGTATTAGATTTTGAGTTTTATCTATTGGGTGCAGAAAATTAATCAAAAGAACACATGGGAGCTCAATCTGATAGACCATTTGACGGAAATTATTAAGGTTGAAGAGGAAAATGACGCTGAGACGAATTTTCAAAAGGTAAGCTGTGCCTTTTGATGGTATGATATATATATATATATATATATATATATATATAAAGGGTTTGTTTTTAAGTATTGTTCGTCGTTTGTGGATATTTCGGATTAGTTTTGGAACTTGAAATCTATCAAGACCGAAATTTGGTAATTTTTTTTTTGTTTTTGAAGTGTGGCCCGAAGTTCATTCTTTCAATGGAATATGCTGTGTTCAATTAAGTTTGTATCACTTTTCTACCTGTGCAGGCAAGCTGCACTCTTGAAGCTGGAGTCAAAATTTACTCATTAAGGGTGGATTCAGTACACTCTGAGGCATATAAGGTCCTTGGTGGAATGAATAGAGCAGGCCAAGAAGACGAACAAGGTTTGGTTCACTATATTTTGTTCTTTCGTTTCTTGTTCAAGTCTTTTACTTGAAATTCTTGGCTGGAACAATTTAATTGTTAACGGTTTGTAGGACTGATTACTATGTTATATAGTTATCTTTAATCAGCTCATCTATAGTTTGAAATTTAACTGTCAATTTGTAAAGTTGTATAGTTCTCTTGATGCTGTGTTGCAATGTTAGATACTAGTCCGGATGATGCCGCTGTTGACAATGGACAAGATGTGGCGCATTCCAAGAAAGAGATGGAGAAAAAGGTTGATAGTTCTCTGGCTCACTCGAATGATTTAATAAACTCTGTATGCCAAGTACTGACGTAAATCCATAAATGCAGTCACCTTTATCAACGCTGGAGTCGTCTTTTGAGGCTCTAAATGTAAAAAAGTTTGATGGTGAGCACACATCCTCGCTATCCGTATAAATAGTTTTAAAGTGTGAAATACGAGGTCAAATTTGTAATATTAATTTGTCTGTATTTTTCAGTTGCATTTGCAGTTGATCCACTCTATCATCAGACATCTGCACAGTTTGATGAAGGTGGGGCTAGGGGTCTTTTAATGAATAATCTTGGAGTATTTGGTAGATGCAGAGTTCTCTTTGACTCGTCGGAAGTACCAGCGAAGTGCATGTCATGCGATAATCAACATGATAAATCAGATACCATCGATCTTTCTTTTGCTAGTGGTGAGTTGCATTTTTGGTAATGTATTGTTTTCTTGGTAACTCTTGTCTTCCCATAAATTTTTTTTTTCAAATGAGAATATTCAGTTTTAATAACAGTCACGTTTTCTTGTTATAGAGTATGTTGAACAAATGGTATTGAACATGCGAATGAAAGATGAAATTTCACCAACTCTCAGGAATATAGTCAATCGATTTGATGAAGATAACAGAAGGCCAGCAGATATATATTCCTGTTCTCAGGAATCAGCAGAACAAGTAGACGCAGCCCATAATAATGAAGTTGAATTTGATGGTGATGTACCTGAGAACTTTGGGAACTGGGATTATGAACATGATGACCAAACAAGCATAGTAGAGGAGGCCCTTAACTGTGAAAATTCAACTTTTCCTAGTTATGACGAGGTTTTTTGAACAAACTATCCCTATAATTGGTCTTGATTGTATATATTTGTTCAGTTGTTTTCTCTCTAGTTGTGTGTATGAGTGAAGAATCACTTTATTCCCTGATAATCTCTTAAATTTGTAGGAAAATGAACCGGGTGCTTTCGATGAGCGTGATAGCGAGGAGAGACTTAAGGACGTTGACGAGTATTTGTTCTTAAGTCTTGGATTAACTTCAAAACAAAATGCATGGGCAGGTCCTGATCATTGGAAGTATCAAAAAACTAAAGGTCTGGTTCAGTGGTTATATCATCAACCAGTATGTGTATGTGTATTTCTTGTGCTCCAGTAGTATGGTAACATAGTGCAACAATATGTTTTTTCAGTTTCCGAGATTGATCCTTCTGGAGAACAACCAGTAGCGGTTAAACGACACAGGAAAAAAGTACAGCCTGATCTTGATTTCACGAAAGCCTTGGAAGAAGAAATGCCAGATATTTTTGCTCCTCCAAAAAATCCGAAATCCTTACTGCTGCCAGCAAATAGAGCACCCTGTAATACAAAGCTTCCTGAGGATTGCCACTATCAACCAGAGGATCTTATCAAGCTATTTCTGATACCTAATGTAAAGGTAATGTGTTGCAACAATCATACTATATATGTATTTCCATCGAAATGGTGTACGCTCTTTCTTTTTCATGAAATGCTTTTCTTTTCTTTTCTTTTTTGTGCTGCAGTTCCTTGGAAGGAGAGGCAAGAAGTCCTCAGGTAAGAAAGTTCTTTCTCGTTGGTTGGTAATAAATAGGGATAACCAATAATTAACATTTTTTCTGGTTCCTTTTTTAAATTTTTAATTTTTATTAATGATGAAATGTGGAATTAATATATAGAGTACTTGTTGTGACATTAGATGAATCGAGGCAACAGTCTGATGATTATGGGCAATCGCCATTCTATGATGATGGTAATGTATTTGGTGGCCAATATGATGACGGAATTAGCCATAGTGATGTGGAGGACTTTAGCACACTTGTTTCTCAGCCTCGCCAGGTTGGTTTCTAACTTTTCAGCTTGATATAATTTGAGACCCCTTGCAGTTGCCCACAAGTCTGAGAGTGAGTGTTAGGTAGCCTATGACTTGGAGAGTTATGGTGGTTTACAAACCTGATTTCATCTCAAGTATTTTACAAGGTTTCTTATTTTTTATTTTATGAAGTAGGAAGAACTTTGTATTTTATTTCTCCCTTTGTCTTCCAAGTATTTTACAAGTTTATAATTCGATTATGTCTAGTTTTATAGATATTCATCATGGAGATGATAAGGGCTGCAATCTTGGGAATAGTTTTAGTCTGTAATTCAAAGCTCATTAAAACAAATCTGTAGTTTTTGCTTATGCTTTCTTCCTACATCTAAACAATACAGGTAAACAAAATTGAAGTTCACTATGACAAGACTTCCAAACAAGTTGATGTCCAGGTTCTGAAAGAAACCCTTTGGGGCCATGTACAAGAATCTGTTCACATGTCGACACAGGTGCGCTAAGTTTTCTTTTTCATTTCTTTCTGCGTGTAATTTTTTGTGCAGTTTTCCTTAGGATATATAGTATATAGCATATGGAATGAGTTTTTACATAAAAAAAAGTTAGAAGACATATGAAAGCTTGATTCGGGATTTTATTTCTATACTAATACGAGCTATCGATTATTGATGTATTATTCCAATTGATTGAAGACTATTTTCCTTTTTATATTCATGCTGGCAATCAATCTGTCTGTTGGAACGTACTGGTTACCAGTAATGGCCTTTGATGTGATCGGCCAACAGAAATGCATAAGTGCCTATGTCTTCCATGAGAAACATTTGTATGCAATGAGGATAACATTGTTTTGCTATTCCTAACCAATTAAGCTATACTATGTGTGATAACTTTTTCACTTGGTATAGCTTGATTGACCGAAAATAACAAAGCAATACTATTCTAGTTTCATAAAAGTTTTTCTAGTCTTGTATTGGATACAATTATATTAACAGAACAGAAGATCAACACTGAACCATATTTAGGAATAGGAACTGCTATTACTCCACATGTCTTCTTTAGTTGCCGTCCTTCATTTGTTTTACAAAAGGGAAAGCCAGAAAATTTATGCTTCTACCATCCAACTGTTTCATTTATGATATATATTATTTTGAGAAGGTAAATTCTGATTGTTGATATTTCTGATTTTGGAAAGGGTCAAGAACAACTGGCATCCTTCAAGCAAATCTTGGCCAGCTTCC